TTCCTTTGGAGAGCTTTTTGCTATAGGGTGTGTGTGCTTGCCAGAAGACAGAGAGAGACAGAGAAACAGAAAGTGAGCAATCACCCCCCCAGGTGGGATGGCTTCATCACAATCCCTTCTCCTCCATTCTCCTCTCAGGACCTTGGGCACTCACACACACCCGTCCAGCATGAGTTTAAGTCACCGGGTCCGGGACTCGAACCAATGTCAACTACATGGGAGTCCAGTGACATAGCCATTATGCCATCTGTTGGTCCCAACTGTAGAAAAGTTCTTAATTTTTTCCTCTTTCTTGTAACATTCAATAACATTTAGTCTATGAAATAATCAGACTGCCAGATTAGCAGGAGAACAAAGTATACAGAATATGAGACTCAGAGGAAGGCTGAATGTACACCACACAGACTCAGAGGAAGGCCGTATGTACACCACACAGACTCAGAGGAAGGCTGTATGTATACCATACAGACTCGTGGTTAAGTTATGGGAAGGAGAGTGGAGAAAATGCAAAAATTGTCCTCTTTATCTGGGCCAGTTATCAGTCCTCTAATCTCCCAATTTTGGAGGCGAAGACTGTAAAAGTACTGTCTCCAAAACTGAGGGGTAAGCAGGCATTTTAAACGCAAGCCAGGAAAAATGGAGGCAAAGGGATTGCAGAGTGGCCATCCCCTTTGGGGGAGTGCTTTCCTACTCGGTTTCTCTCTCATCTCTTAGGTGAGCACATGTGCCCTGTGGCAAATTTTTAAGAAAACAAAAAAAACCTAAGGATGAAGATTCCAGAATTCCTAGCAGGCTATTCTAACTAGCATTTTAAAAACTTTATACTTTACATAAAAATGTTTTTATTAATATATTTTCTCTTATTGTACAGTATTCTAATTGAAGCAAAAAAAATTCCTCTGTTTTATATATGTATATATATGTGTGTGTGTGTGTGTGTGTGTATGTATATTTTAGTTTTTTTAAGGTACATGCACTAGCAAGAAGGAGGAGGAGAGAGGAAAAGCACCCCTCTCCCCAAATGAAGTGTG